TTTGTAGTTACACTTTGTATTCTCCAGGAGGGCACAGAGACTCCCCAGCCATCAGAGCCCCTTCACGTGGGTTCATCCCACCTTTAAATCCCTCTCAGAAGCAGGAACGAACAGCCCAGGTGCTGCCTTTGATGCTCTCAGGAGGAGGAAGAGGAGGAGGATGAGGAGGCGGCAGCAAGCGCAGCAGCAGCATCACCGGCAGGGACAGTGACACAGGGCCAGGCTGGGGACCACGAGCCCTCCCAGGGCAAGGCAAAGGCCCCTTGGTGCTGCTGTGAGGATAAACACCATGGCAGGTGTCACCTCTCCAGCCCTCCCTGGCTGCAGACACCGGGAGGATCCAGCAGGACTCTGGCTTTGGCACAGGGACAGTCTGGGCTCTCTGAGGTCACCTGTCTGGAGCTTGGCTGGGGCTCTCTCAGCCAGACCGGGAAGCAGCTGGTGAAAATCTCCTCCAAAGCTGCTCCCTCACAGAAAGAGCCCTGCCCAGGCTCCACCACTGGCTCAGGACAGCACCCAGACATCTCAATTCTGCTGTGCCACAGACCAGGAGCAAAGGTGGGGATGGATCCAAGCAGGCTCATCCCTGTCCCCCCCAAACTCCTCTTCACCCTCACCACACCTCTGATTTAACTCTGACCTGCTGCAAGACAGAAAAAACAAGCTAAAGGAGAAAACCACCTGAAGTTGGTCCTTTTCTTCATAAATGGAGAAAAAGAGAGGACTAGCAAGGATCAAAAGAAAATAGGAAGAGAAGCCCTAATGAAGAAAGCAACATAATGTTTGTCCTTCTTACATGGAACAGGATCTGCACTTGGAAATCACTGCACTGAAAACCACAAGCTAGTTAAGCTGTATCAATAAACACTACTTTTAATGATAAACTGTTCTCCATCTGCATTATTTTTGATCTTCACACGACCAGGTGCAATGAAGGAAGAAGGGAACATCTGCTAGGGAGTGCTGAAACCCCAGAAAATAACATCAGCACAGCCATCACTCACTGTGTGCTTCATGCAGGGTGCCTGGACACGCTGGGAGGAGAAACCTGAGGCACCAAATATCACCAAGCACCTTCATCTGTTTGTCGTGCAGGGGCAATCACTAATCAGCATCTGGGAATGCAAATGCACTTACACAAGTCAATGAATAAAACAGAAGAGAGTAGCTAGGGGAAAAAAGAAGCTAAATACAACAACCTTGAGTTTTGAGCACTGACTTTGTTACATAGAAACAACCGGGGAAAAAACAACCCACACCAAAGTCAGCCAAGCTCACAGATCTTCACCTAAGCTCCTCACCTGAGCCTGTCTGAGCCTAGAAAGGCAATTAATTACAAGTGCACAGATTATGAACTACAACAATCTTAGCCTAGGAACAGTGACAAGCTGAGATTTGGCTCAGTGTGGTCTCAGCAATTCCTGTGGGCACTGCCACAACCCCCCTCTAGTCCCATAGACAGTCAATTATATTCAATATAATATTATACAATACTCAAGTTCTACAAAGAGAAGCACCTGGATTCCTTTTTCTCATCCAGAGGGAAGAAATCTTCACTGCTGTTTGAGTGGCATGAATGCCATGACACCTGCAGTTCTCCCAGCCCTAGCAGCCTTTTCCTAGGCACACTTTCAGCAGGATGAGGACTGGTCTGTATGAGCACAGAGCAGAGCTCAGAAGGGTGGAGATAAGCAGAGCAGAAGGGCGCTGGGAGCCCCAGGTCCACCCACACACTGCAAAGCTCTGCTCCAGCTCAGGAGGCCAGGGATGGAAAGCCCATTAGCAGTGAAATGCACAGAGGGAGCTCCTGGAATATCCTGGCTCAGGCTCAGCCCAAACTCATCCTGGGGGCTCCCTGGCCCTGTAACCCCAACAGAAGCACAGAGAGTGGGCATGGGATGATGCAGGATTCCCTCACAAGGTGCAGTACAAGTGGAGCCAGGGGGAACAAAAAAGAGCCCACTGACCAAAATATAATTCATTGAAGCCCATGTTGGTACTTCAGGTAGATAATCATGATGACATCAATCTTCCTTCTGCTCTTTGAGTTATTCCCTTACCCAAAAAGATCTGCTGAGGACCCAGGGTCTGCTGTGAGGGGCAGCCAGCAAGCTCCCCAGCCCTGTGGGCCAGGGGATAATTCAGACCACAATCAAACCACACATTCCAGGTTTTATTTCAAAGTGGAGCTGAGTGGAACCCCACAGACCTTGCAGGATCTCACAGCTCATGACAGCATGAGGGGACTGTTCAAACAGCACCTGGTGGATGAATTTCTTCGATAGAACTTGTCCCACTAATTATTTGGGTTTTTTAGGAGTCTAACCTATAGAAAGGACAATTGAAACTTGTTATAAAACACTGAGCACATCACCACCAGAATAGGTACAAGACTCCTGCTCTGTTTTCATTCCCGTGCTGCTCCCACACCCTGTGCTGGGACATCAATTTTCATTCTCCATGATTTAGGGTTGTTATAGGGTGGCCTTTGTGCTAGCAAAGAACCCATGATCTGTAACAAAACTGAATTTCTACTTTACTGGACAAATATACCAAAAGAAATTGTGGCATCTTGGTGGGTTGCTAAGCAACCAAGAGCTCCAGTGTCACTTGTTTGTGATCAATTCAAGTCATTCATGGGCTCTGAAGCACCAGCTCAGGAATTCCAACAAAATCTGTGCCTTGGGAAAGCCACAGGGACTTCCTGACACACAATAACACTTTCTTTCCTCGAAGATAAACTTTGTAGATGTTCTTTTGATCTGTGTGATATGTTAATCCATTATTCTTAACATACTGCTAATGGGAAAAGCTATAATTAACTAACCACAGCATTGTAATGCGTGCAAGATAAACTGATCTAATTAGTAGTGTTTAAAGTAGTCCCTGTCCTCTCCCAGTGGGGAAAGGAGCAGATCCTTCCTGATCACAGGAGCAACTGTCCCCAACATCTTTTTATGTAAAGAATAAATTCCTCTTTGTTCCTTTTTTTTCCTCCCAAATAGAAGTGATAAAGTAAATTTTTACTGGCAAACAAGGTGGCCCCAGTCCAAGCCACTCGAGGTACATATCCAAGCTGTGAATAATGCAATCTTTCATTTAAATAAGGTTTATCTGTTGGCTTTCTTGGGGAAAGAAACGGACTGTTATATTTTCATGCATGGAGTTTAATTACTGAAGTAACTCATAGTGAATGCCCACAATAATTGCACTCACTGAGTTAAATGTATATTACTGAAGTACAGTCTATTTCAGCCTCATTTTCAAGATTCAGCCCATCCCTATTTTGATAAAAATCAATAATAAACAGGAAGAGTTTAGAAACAAACTGGTTTCCAAGCTGTGTGCTGCATATGGCAAAATTTCAACTTCTTGATTGCTGGCAGGTGTTTTTTTACTGAAGATATTTAATGATAATTTCATATACACTGGGCAGTATTTCTAAAGAAATTACCTTCTGCAAATCTCAGTGTCCTATCCTGTGCATCTTATTTTAATGTCACATGATCTGGACTTGTAGTTCCTCTGCAAGCCAGACTCCACTGACAGCAGATGTTCAGCCTAAATGAGCACCAGAAACTGGTGAGCCAGAATTTCCTAATTTTTAAATGACCCATTCAGAAAGAGAGGGCTTCATTTGGCTTGGGTTTCTTTGAAACACAATGAAAATGTATTACTTTTAAGCAAGAGAGAAGTGTTAACACAGCAGGAGTTGTGCACACTGATATTTCATATCAGAAGATAAGCACAGGCACGTGGGAAGCAATGGCCAAGGATGGCAAGCACAGCTCCAACGAGATAACATTTCACGTTCATAAATGGCAAAAAATTACATATTTATTTAAAGTACAGCTTTTCACCTCCCCTCCTTTCCTCGGACCTGTATCTAAAGTCATAACATTTATTATTTATTGCTTGTGGAATGGGATTTGGGGGAGTTACACAGCACATATCAACTCGGTCACACCAAACCCTTGGCAAGGACACAGAAATGCCACCTGTCACCACTCTGGAGAAATATTCCAAAACCACATTTCAAGCAAAAGTATTCCCAGGTAGTGCTGAACACCTGTACATAACCCAACAAAACACAGCTCAGTCCCTTCCTACCCCAAAAGAAGCCAAGTATCCCTAAGGATGGAAGCGGCAGATGCAAAGCCCACGTACGTTTGCTGTGTGTGACTACAGGAAAACAGAATTTCCTCGGACTGCGTTGCCAAGCTCCCCGATGCTCTCTGATCATGCAGCACGAATCGATAACACACAGCCCAGACACCGAGCCCCAGCGATTCCTGCAGCGCAACACGGGCACATCGCTTCCCCAGCGAAAAAAAACCCAAAAAAAAACAAAACACCACCACCAAAAAAACCCCCCAACCTGGGGACTTCAGGAATTATTTAGGAACTGCAGCAAAACCACCCTAAATCCTCTCCAAAACGATTTGGGAAGCAGAAACAAGTGTACGCCAAGATGCAGGACATCCGGGCTCGCGAACTTGAGCCCACCTAAATCAACACGGGACTGACCCGCCAGCCCCCAGCCCAGCCCCCGGCCCTTGGCTCTGTCCCCTGGACCCTCCGCGCTGTCCCCTGACCCATGGCTCCGTCTCCTGGCCCGTGGCTCTGTCCCCCGGCCCACGGCTGTGTCCCCGGCCCCTCCGCGCTGTCCCCCGGCTCCGCAGGGCTCCGCACCCCCGAAACTTCCCACGGGCAGCGGCTCCTCCGCCCGGGGACCCGAGTGCGGGGAGAAGGGGCCGGACCAGCTCCCCGGGAGCCCCCGGGACCCCCCGAGCCCCCCGCTCGCCCCCGGGCCGGGCTGAGCCCGGCTCCGCTGCCCGATCGCTCCGCAGGGCGCCGCCGCTGCGGGACCAGGTGCGGTGCCGGCAGCAGGAAAACCAGTTTTCAAATCAGAGCGATAATAATGAGAGCGCTTTGGGAGGCAGGCAGGGCGAGCCCCGCGGCCGGACACCCCCGGAGCCCTCCCGCTGCCCCCGCCGTACCTTGAGCCCGGGCGGGCGGAGGGGTCCCGCTCCCGGTCCCGGCGGCGGCTCCGCAGCCCCGTCCCGGCGCTCCGAATTAATCGCTCCACCCCGAAAAAAAAAGGGGGAGGTAAGGGGGGAGGGAAGGAGGGGGAGCGGAAAAACCCAACGCAACCACCCCAAAGCCAGCCCCGCTCCACACCCACGAGGAGGGAGAGGGTCCCTCCGTGACTGGCATCGCTATCTCCTCCGGCGGAGCTTGCAGGGAGCCATGGCAACGAGCCCCCGCGCTCCCCACGGCCTCCCCCGGGGCACAGCCAGCCCCCTCCCCGGCTCCGGCCCCGCTCCCGGTCCCACCTGCCCGATCCGAATCCCCTCGGCCGGAGCCGGCTGCCAGCGGCACCTCCGCCCCCGCTGCTCCGGGCGGCACCTGAGGATGCAGGGAGGGAGGAGAGGAGCGAGCGAGGGGAGCCCCTGCCCGCCCCCAGCCCGGGGGGGCCGTCCCGCAGCCGGGCAGGTGCCGGGGAGGGATCCCCAGGGCCGGACAGCCCAGAACCGGGGCGGGAGGAGGAGAACGGAACCGAGGGCGCTGCCCCGGCGGGACACGGGATGCTCTCGGTCCGGCGGGCAGCGGCGGCTCCGCCGAAATCCAGGCAAGGAGGAGCGAGGCGCTGCCGGGGAAGGGACGGTCCCCGCCTGGTCTCACCCCTCTCTCGGGTGGAGAATTGTCGCTGCTTTTCAGCGGAAAGGATGAAGATTAAGAACACCGCAACTGGGTTTAGCCCTTCCCCACTCACCCCTCTCCCCTACTAAACCCTCATATACCAAATCATCCTAATGCCAAACCTCTGAAAACCCTTTTTTTTTTTCTGTTTTTTTTTTTTTTTTTTTTTTTTTTTCTTTTTTTTTTTTTTTTTTTTTTTTTTTCTTTTTTTTTTTTTTTTTTTTTTTTTTTGTTTTTTTTTTTTTTTTTTTGGCAAATGCCCTCCCGTGTGCTGTACATGACCACAGAACCGGCTCAGGTTCACGTGTGCGCTTGAGCGCCCGGACTCTGCCCTGCGTGGAATGGGCTAAATATTTAAGTGATTGGTAAAGACAGTCGTCACAAACGTGCCAGTCATTGTCTTAAGCACTCCATCCCGAGAGATGGGGAAGCTCAGACATAATCATTTTCATGACGGCTCGGACTCCTCAGACGTTTCTGTCTCGCTGCTGACCTTTGGGGGCTTTGCTTTTCTCTGAGCCTTGCCTAATGCAATGAACAATAATCACAAAGTAACATTCACGGACATTAAACCATAAACTCACCCTACCGAAACACAGTGGCACTCCCGGGGATTATTAGCATTTAGGTTAAAGATTTTTGGGACAGTGGCAATTGGAATTTGTGGCCAACTGTTGTTGTTTATCTCCTGCAGATTTAAGTAGGTGAGCTTGCCTTTTGGATGAGAAGTAAATAATTAAATTAAGGAAAAGCATTATAAAGATGGCAGTAAAAGAAAAAAGATCTGAAAAGTAGAAGGGAAAAGGGCAGAATAGTTTAATATATTTGTTAAGTAAATGCAAAACTGTTCAAACAATGGTAAGTTTGCAGTCATGAAAAGTCAGGCAATTAATACATAGAATTCTTATATTCAAGTATGCATGAGTGAACCAGCACCAATATAAATGCATGGAGCAGAGCATGGAAAGCTGCTGGGGAAGCTCTGAAGTTGGGCAGATTTCTGTGTGACAAACACCCAGCCCAGAGCACACCAGAGGACTGGGAATCCTCCCTTTGGATCCTGCCCTCCACGCCAGATCCTGAATTGAGTCACTGTTCCATCCGAAGACAGTGAAATGTTGTATTTACAGCACATTGCTTTCCAAACAACCAACAGCTAAGCAACAGACCTGTGCCCTGTGGGAGGAAACTCGGGCAATAAATGGACAGGGAGGCGGCTCCAGAGGAATGTCTGAGGGCTGCTGCCCATGGATTGAAAACCCATTTGACCCCGTACCTTGGAGCCAGCAGAGATTCACTCCAATCCCGAGGTTTGGAGATTCCCTGGAGCCTTGGCAATAACTGGAAGTGCCGAGGGAGGGAAGCTGCTTGTCTGGGAGCAGAGATAAGAGAGCTGGGAGAGCCAGGGAGAGCTGGCATTGCCCCTGCTGCCATTGCCAGGAGGATGAGAAGTGGAGCCAGTGACTCTCACCCTGCTGGAACCCTGGCTGCTGAGAATTTTGGACTTTCTGTGTTGAAAGGCACAGACTCTCAAGAGAACACTGCATTGACCTGAGGCCGTGGAGAAGGCTTCCAAAATTCATTGATAGGACTGAGATTGTGGGTGTGGAGTTTGAATAGAAGTGTGTGATATCACATGGTGGAAAACTTAAGAGTTTAAGGTTTTAGAATGTAGTAATATATATAGAGCTAAGATGGAGGTTTTAGGGTGGTGGCTGGTCCTTCTTCTTCACCTTCTTCTTCATGGGTTTTGGTGATATTTTGTAATTGGACAGAAAAGTCCACATTGTGGGACACGGGTGATTAGTTATTGAGTTAAAAGTAAAAATAATTTGGGTGTCATTTCTTAATTGGACAAATTTTCCTTAAAAGACCTTGTAGAGATAGATACAGGGTCATTTTGTAGCTTGTTAGTGAAGTGCTGCAGAGCTCCCAGCTTGTGAGACTGTAACATGGATAAGAAATAACAAACACCTGAGTCTGAGCAGGACATCAACCTCCCCCTGCCCAGCCAGTGCTGAGTTCCACCCGGGATGCCTGGGCAGCACCAGGAGTTTCCAGGCTGATTTTTGCAGGGCTCTGGCAGAAAGAAGAGAGGCACCAATTCCATGACCTGCAGAGACTGCTTGAGGCAGGGCTGCTGCCAAAGTCAACTTCCCAGCTGCCCATCCCTCCATCCCTGTGCCACAGAGGGAGGGAAGCTGGCCTTGCAGAGTGCAGCCACCCCTTAGACCTTCATTTCCCTGCTTAGCTGGCCCAGCTTTTAGATCCTCCCTGGCAATGTGATTTTCCCAAGGCCTTCTCCCATGTTCAGGTTTGAGGCCATAATATGGAAAGCATTAAATGGTTTTAATTTTTCACAAATCATGCACGAAGTTTTTCTTCTGCTAGGAAGCCAGCTGATGGCAAAGCCCAAGGACAGCAGCTTCCACAGTTGCAAAATAAAATAAAATATGTTCCTGTTAACAATAATAACATGGCACTAGCTAAATCTATTTGAGAATAGGGTTTGCCTTAAGTAAAGTGTAACATGGAATAATCAATCGTGCTTCACAGCTTCACATTTCACTGGGCTATGAAATGGGGCAAATGTCGTGGCACTTAAGTCTGCACCAAACAAAAATAAAGACAGAGAAGCTCAGTGTGGTCCTCTCTGCATCTCACAAAACTGCTCTTTATTTTGGGATTTCCTGCTGAAAATCAAGAGGCCTTTTCATCAGACCCTCTGCTTGATGTGAGAATGAGAGAGCAACACTGCTGGAAACACTGGAAAAAATTAATTCTCTCTAAGCTGGTACTGATCACATATTTAAAATACACATTAAATGCATAATACTGTCTGAAATCAAGTGTGAGAGAACCCCCTGAGAATATTTACCTCAGGCATTGTCTGAAGGAGGAACAGCAGGTGTGTTTTGCCAATCCCAACTGTAACTTGTTACCTGACTCCTGACTGTTCTCCCTCAAGACACACCCACCATCTTAAACCCAGTCCCAGAGTCTGGTGGCAGGCTCAGAAGATTCCAAATCCTACTCTAAATGCCTTTTAAGACACATGAAATACTCAGGACAAAAGAACAGATTGGCCAGATTTTCTGTGGAGGAAATTAATTTGCTTGTAATTGCCAGCACATATCCCATCAGCAGAGCTTGTTAATAAAGATGCTGTAATTTTCTGAATAGGTAGATATGCAAAAAGGGGAATGTATTTGAATATCAAGAACCACAATTTGATATGGACAAAAAAAAAATGAAAATAGGATAAGCTTCTGGGAATCTGGTTTGGTCCTGGACAAATTAAGTGACTATAATAATTGACATGAGGCCATCTAAATTTTGAAACGATGCCCTGCTGTAAGATTTTGCAGTATTTTCCTTAACTTTTGAATTTATAGAGTATTTAAGTTATATCAGCTGAGATGCAGCTTGAGTGGCACTGAGCTGCTTTGGGAGCTTGGAACAGCATAGGAAAAGATTTGGACCATTAAGGGAAAAACAGAGAGGGTGATGCACATCCTGCTAATGGTTTGTTAAACACAGATCTGAGCGATCTGATTATAAACACACCTCATCAACACTTAGCTTTGAAATGCTGAAAGTCGGACGGGTCTTGACCAGAGAGAAACTCCAGACATGCCAGAAAATTCTCGTCTATCCCTTCCTAATGAGAGTCCAGGAGAAATCCACGTGATCAAAGGACAGCAAATTTAAAGAGAATTAAAGGAACTACCACTTTTCACAGTTCAAAGCAATCCCAGGAATTCAGGCTTTGAAGAACCTGGAGTGAAATGCTGGGATTTGGTTTTTGGTTTTTTTTCTAATCTGATTTTTTTTAAGGCTGGATAATTTTATGACTGCTAATAACATTTGTAACTATGCAAGCTAAGATAATAACAATGGTAATCAAATCTCATGCTTCAGGGCATAAATTGATTGCTTGGAGGGGTTATGGAGAATTTTCTGGTTTTCCCACCACTGAGTTCATGATTTCACAACTGACTAAGTGCATTACAAGAGGGGGGGAATTTGCTTCTGCAGCCAGACAATTGATCTAATCTGTAATAACAAATCTGACACCAAAATACAGCGAGCTGCCTGTCTGCTGTGCAAACACCAAGAGATTTAGGCTCAAATTCAGGGAAATATTTGGTTCTTATTTTCCAGTTGGTTTCCTACAGTCCTCCTGTAAGAAAGCAGCAAGATCTAGGTTGAAAGCAAATAAATCCAAAAAAAACCAAACAACTCCACAACATTTAAGAGCAGGAATGCAGCAGTGCATCTGAAAGATCATTTAGGCAAGGGGGCTCATCCACAGGTTCAGGTCCAAAGATCAGGATGGAAAACAATTCACAGAGTGGGTTGACTCGTGTATCCTATGGCCAAGCACATATTTCCATATGTTTCTCTCAAAAAAGGAGGTCGTGGTCTCTTTTCCTTGAAAAACAGGCACAGCAGGAGATGAGAGAGCTCAGCCTGGGGATGGGGATTTAGGTTTAATTCCCAGCTGGACCAGCAAGCTCCACACAAGTTTGTACTCTGCTTCAGGACAGACTGACTGAGCTCTGGAGAACATTTCATCCAGCAGAAAAGAATTGAAGAAACAGCAGAATTGAAGATTCCCTTGAGCCAAGCTGGGGCAAAACTGGGCCTCGCTTTTGTTACAGAA